AAAAAAAAATTATATTCTTTAAAAAAACAAAAGATTTTATGAAACTTTTAAAATCTATATTCTTTTCATTTTAAATGAATCATATCAGATATAAGTGAATCATATCAGATATAAGAAACCCCAAAGAGACTATAGTGTATACTTGACAAATATTCTTTCTGGTATTTTCTTATATTGGTTGACAAACACGCTTTGTTTTGTGACCCTAAGGTATTAAATAAAATGCAGTTTATTCTACTGAACTATATTCTAGCAGAGTGTACCAAACATTATTTCAGACAAAGTGCTTCAAGCTGTATTTTATCACTTACCTCTCCTTCATGGTTTATTTCTGATCAGTCTTTTCCTTAGCTAAATTACATTTTTTTTTTTCCAAATCCTAGCAGATGCCTTTGTTTATCTTTATATTTTTTTAATGTCTTCTCATACTACTTTATCCAAGGACAAATTCTGCCTTTTCTAATTCAGGGCTTTCATTAAATAAATTTTCACCCCTTCCATACATCTGTCCTATATATTGGCATCACCTGTATTCCCTTCAATATCACTTAGTTCTACATCATATTTTTAGCTTCCTCTTCTACACTGTTATCTGGGGAAGATTTCAATAACTAGGTTAGTTCTGTCATCGTTATTGAGGACTAGTGAGCTATTTATCTATAGACTCAAAAGTAGTTGGTTCATTGCAGGATTTCTTTCAACACTTGCAGATTTTCTGATCCCTAGCACTTGTGGTTTGCCAATCTGAGAAACTGAGAAGACACCTGGGACCAAGGTCCTTCTGACCTTGTCATGTTCTTCTTCTGCCAGCCAATGAGAGAGAATAGCAAAGTACTTACATTTACTTGACCAGATTCCACAAAAGAGGAAAATAGTTGGCTTCAGTCATGTTTTTGAAATATCTTTAACCAAAGAAGACTAAAAACCCAAACATTTTATCTAGATTTTGGAGGAGACTTATCCCAGGTATTTATCATCATGAAGACTCAACTACCACACTAATAATAATGTTCTACTTTTAAAATTACCCATATCACTATTTTTTTCTACCTCAAAAGCAAGGTATTTAAGCTTCAACTATGCCCTTTTCTCTGAATATCCTACTTAGTGTGTGGATCACATGTTTCTTTACAGCAACAAGTTTTGTATTCTTTCTCTGTCAGTCTATATGCTGACGGTTTTTTAATGGACTAAAAATTTTAAGTAATCATGGGAAAATATAGATTATATTTCAGTATATTTTGGACAAACTAGCTCACAAATGTGTACAAATTATTAAATTGTGAATACAGTTGATTGTTGTTGTACCATGTACATAAATTCTGAAAATGATGTTTAGTGAACATCATACTGTACTTATACAAAGATAGTTATATAAGATAGTTTTCTGGCAGTAGATGATAGAATCTCATGGAAATGCCCCTTTATTTTTTAGAAGTATTGAGGTTTGAACTCAGGGTACTCTACAACCTAAGCCATGCCACTTGTTTATACCTTAGTTACTTTTTGTATATTATCTTTTGATTTTTGCTTGGGGCTGGGCTAGACTAAGATCCTCCAAACTATGCCTCCTATATGCCTAGAATTACAGATGTATACTACCACATTCAGCGAATTGGTTGAAACAGGAATCACCTGGGCTGGCCTTGAGCCATGATCCACCTAGTGTCTGCTTCCCATGAAGCTGGGATTATAGGTGTGAGCCACTCATCCTAGCCCAGAATTATGTGAAAAGAAATATATATTTCAGAATATGAATGTTTGTGGTCACACAGACATATGGATCATAGTTTAAAGAATGTATATTTGAAAATAAAATAGGTTGTCTTCAAACCTCAATCCTCGGATCTTACTCTCCTGAGTAGTTAGTATTAGAAGCATGAGCTACCAGAGTCCAGATTTGGATGGCAATTTTTAAAAGCAGAAATAATCATAAATATGTCTCGATATATGTATATATTTTCTTCTAAGTTATAGATTTTGTTTTTGTCCTCATCTTCTGTCTTTACCATCAGTTCAACATTTCTGTCTTTACCTACAAGAGCAATAATTACAAAAAACAAAATCAACCCTTTTAGGGCTCTATATTAGAAAGTTATGGTACTTTTAAATGGAAATTATCTGGTCTTTCTTCCTCTTTTTTTTTCAGGTAAGGGTTAGGTTTATTCATCATTCCGGCTAGCACCAGGCCATGTTGGTCCTCCATGGAGTGGGGAAAGGCCTGGGAAAGAGAGCTGGGAGAGCTGGGAAAGAGAGAGAAAACAGCTAGAAAAGAGAGCTTCTGGGAAAGGTGGGAAAGAGAGAGCTAGGAAAGAGAAGGGAGCTGGGGAAGAGAGGAGAAGGAAAGAGCTGAGAAAGAGCTAGAAAGAGCAGAGAGAGCTAGAAAAGAGAAGGGAGCTGGGAAAGAGAAGAGAAGGAAAGAGCTGAGCTGAGAAAGAGCTAGAAAAGAACAGAGAGAGAACTAGAAAAGAGAAGGGAGCTGGGAAAGAGAAGAGAAGGAAAGAGCTGAAAAAGAGCTAGAAAAGAGCAGAGAGCTCTTCCTCTTTTTCATATGTAGAGAGAAGAGACTACCTTGCTCCAAGGAACATTGACATCAGATTTGATCTTAATTCTCTATTAACAGTTAAAAGAAAATGAGCTTTATTTAATACATCTTTCACTCTGTATAATTCTCTGTAATGCAGTGACTGCGAAAGATGTTTAAAGTTGTTACCAGGAGTTCTAAGTCACACATTATAGCTTTACTTTTTTCTGATTAATTAAATTGCTCTTGGCATTCATAAAATTTCTCCATTCCCTCTAAAGCAGTGACAGCTACACTAAATTATTTCTATGATTTCTATTCTCTTAAAATCATAAAACTGCAAATTTCCAGCAAACTCTGAGGTTTGGAGATATTCAAAATATTTTAGAGTTCTGTCAATCCAGCATGTGTGGAAGATATAAGAATATTGTCTTGTCTGGTATGGCTCTACTTCTTGTGAGGCGCAGAGTCTAAAGTAGTACTGATTTTCAGAGGGTTCCTTGTAAGAAACTCTTAGTATCTCAGGAGTATGAGTAATATGGTCACAGTGGCATTACTATTGTAAAATAAGTAAAAGTGTAAATAGAAAAGCTCAAACTAATATGTAAACAGTGTTGTTTAAAAATAGGCCTAGAAAATATTATGCCAACTTATGATAGCTAATCTAACTCAGTTGTTGTAATAGTATTTGGCCACTATCTATCTCTACTAAGTCAACTCATACGGGTCCCAACTGTCTTATTCACATAAATTTCTACTCAGCACATCACTATTCAAAAGAATACAAATTTGATGGAAATCGAAGACTTCCTACAACCAAAATTATGATTATGTGATTAAAACAGAGAGGTCACAATTAAAATTTAAGCTTAGAAAAGCATACAAAACTTCTGAGATGGTATTTCCATATAAAATATTGGATAAATGGTAATTGAAAAATTTGAGTAAAGCATATACTTTGACCTTAAAGTGGTCAGTGTAGCACATGAGAAAGGAATTTGTAAGCAAATAACTATCATCTAATTTAAAAAAGACTATCATTAATAGTTGCAAAGTATCATACTCAATTTTTTTAAAATGACAAGCTACTTAATATTAAAAATTTCATATACTTGCATTCTAAACTTTACACTGTGACTGGTTTTACTGTATTTTATTTTTTGTGAGTCGTGGGGCTTGAACTCAGGGCTTGGGCACTGTACTTGAATTCTTTTGTTCAATGCTAGAGCTGTACCACTTTGATCCACAGTGTCTCTTCCAGTTTTCTTGTGGTTAATTGGATATAAAATTCTCATGGACATTTGTGCTTGGGCTGGCTTTGAACTGCAACCATTAGACTTCAGTCATCTAAGTAGCTAGGATTACAGGGATGTGCCACCAGTGACTGGATCACAGTGGTGACATATTTTAAGTAAAATTTTCCCTCTAGAAACCGGGCACAGATGACTCACAGCTGTGATCCTAGCTACTATTCAGGAGGCTGAGAATTGAGGATTGTGGTTCAAAGCCAACCAGGGCACAAAAAGTCCATGAGACTCTTATCTCCAACAAACCACTAGAAAACCAGAAGTGGTGCTACGGCTTAAGTGGTAAAGAGCTTGCCTTGAGCTGAAGAGCTAAGGGACAGTACCCAGGTCCAGAGTTCAAGTCCCACAACTGACAAAAAAAAAAGGAAAAATTGCTTACTTAAATTGCAAATTGATTCAAAAATGTAAATACATAACATTTCATAAATGTAAAGAAGTGAAGATCTATTGTTTTGCTTTGATTTTTACTATATGTAATCCACTTAGGGTTGTATTGAATTTCAAATATAAAAAGTATTTTATACTATGTAAGCAGTTACAAAATAGTTTAACCTATGCATATTTGCATTTTGCCTGGCAAGTGAGAACCCAATGAATGACTTACATTTGCTATAATGAAAACCTTTCTTCCAAAGACAAAATGATTATATGCTGAGGAATCTCAAGTACAGGCACTACTACTGAGCTATACAGATGAATAGTCTTCAATAACCTTGAAAGAGCCATGTCTAACTGTAACTTTTACCAAAGTCTGGTGACAGTGCAGCACGGAATCTTAAGTAACACTGAAATACCTAAAGGAAGTTAAAGGATTTTTGTGCCTAAAGGAACCTTCTACGTCTTCTAATTTATAATCATTTATGTGGGGAAAAAAATCTTCCAAAAGTTACACTCCTTGAAATCACATAATGCATGGTTGATGGAGAAGAACAGTTCAATTATGTTACACTGCTCCAGTCTTCTAAAGGAAAGCCTTTAAATCTGGGGCTTCCCCAGGCAGAATTTGCTCTTCTAGATCTGCAGCATAAAAAAAAATATGTTCTGGAAGGGAAATGAGCCTGCCATTCATCCTATGCCAAAAGTAGAAAGTGATGCCAAATATTTCCAGGTTATATTATATTCTTGTGAAAAAAAAGGTTCTACTTAGTGAAAAAAAAGGTTCTACTTACCTCCTCACAGGTAGTTCTGAAATCCATGTGCTGTGGCACCCCAAAGGATGGAGTCTGAAAGACAGAAATGGTAAGCCATTAAGCATAGCATACAGTGTAATAGGTAACATCAACACGGTATAAATTGGGAAGCACTTCATAGGTTTATACATCAGTAAAGGACAAGAACTCCAGGGTATGCCACCAGGAGAGAATGGAAGAGAGAAAGAATTGTTCATGCTCAGTTTATGTGTTGATACCCATGCTACATGATTTAGTGGTGCCTTTCTACCTGTTGGCCTTCTGAAGTGATCGGCAACATTACTAACCTCTAAGTCTCATTGTTAGCTCTGCACCAACTATTTTGAAGCTCAAGCTTTAGAAAGGGTGGGGGCGGGAAACTTTAAAAAGAGTAATTAAAAATTGTTTTTCATCTAGTTATCTCTTGGAAAAAGGTTGACTAATCTTTCTCTTTTTAATTAAAAAGCTACATGCATGAATAATTTCCCCTGGAACTTAGAATTTTATCTATAAGTAGTATGATTCATGGGAGCAAGCTATTTATCAGAGGGGATAAATTAAGATGAATTAATTTATGAAACCTCCAATGAAAAGTGCATATAGATGACACTATCACACCTCAATGATGGATAGAGATAGAAATGCATATGTAATAGCCCGGAGCCGGTGGCTCACGCCTGTAATCCTAGCTATTCAGGATGCTGAGATCTGAGGATCGTGGTTCAAAGCCAGCCTGGGCAGTAAAGTCCGTGAGACTCTTTTTTTGGATCAATTTATTCTTAATTTTATTGTCAAGGTGTTGTGCAGAGGAGTTACAGTTACATATGTAAGGTAGGGAGTACATTTGTTGTTGAACTTGTTACTCCATCTTTCATTTTTCTCCGGAGGGAGAAAATTGTATTGTACAGATCATTTCCAACATATTCTCTCTCTCTCTCTCTCTCTCTCTCTCTCTCTCTCTCTCTCTCTCTCTCTCTCTCTCTCTCCATATATATATATTATATATATACACACATATATATATGTATTTTATTGTGAAAATACTGTACAGAGGGGTTACAATTACATGGGCAAAATAATGAGTACATTTCTTATCAAGCATTGTAGCCTCCTCCTTTGTTTACCCTTCCCATCCCTTCCCATCCTCCCCGTGCCCCACCCACCCAAGTTCCCCACTCCCCTCCCCCCCACCAAAGTTGTAAAGTTCATTTTTGACATAATGACTTGTACATCTCATTGTTGCAATAGGTCCACTGTATCCCTATTTAAACGATTTGTTTTTCCCCTTCCCCTCCACAAATTATACTGACATCAAAAACAGTGAAAGCAGGAGTTATACTGTGAGGGAGGGACATACAAAGCAACAAAGAAATAACCTTATAAATGTGTTAGAAACAATCGCATGAAATAAAAAAAAACATTTGAATACATATCTTAGGGTTCATTTCCCTAACATCACCTTATCTGAGCTTTTCTGCTTGACTCAGACATATACTAGATATTGCAAAGAAGGGAAAACATGGGACCTATGTTTCTTTGGGCCTGGCTTACTTCACTTCATATAATTTTTTCCAAGCCTTTCCATTTCCTAACAAATGGGGCAATGTCATTCTTTCTGATGGAGGCATAGAATTCCATTGTGTATATATACGATATTTTCTTGATCCATTCATCTACTGAAGGGCATCTGGGTTGGTTCCATATCTTAGATATAGTAAATAGTGCTGCAATAAACATAGTCGTGCTGGTAGCTTTAGTGTGTTCTTGTTTGTAAACATTTGGGTAAATGACCAAAAGTGGGATTGCTGGGTCATAGGGGAACTCTATGTGGAGTCTTTTGAGGAACCTCCATACTACTTTCCAAAGTGGTTGAACAAGTTTACACTTTCTGTTCACATCCCCTCCAACATCTGTTGTTATTAGAGTTCTTGATTTTAGCCATTCTAACTGGGGTGAGGTGGTATCTCGAATAAACCACTAGAAAACCAGAAGTGGTGCTGTGGCTCAAGGGGTAGAGCACTTGCCTTGAGCTGAAGAGCTGAGGGATAGTGCCCAAGCCCAGAGTTCAAGCCCCATGACCAACAAAAAAAAAAGGATTCAAATGTTATTTCTTTCTTGCTATTATTTCTAACATATTCATAAGATGATTTCTTTGTTGTTTGGTATGTCCCTTCCCCACGGTATGACCCCTGTTTTCACTGCACTTGATGTTGGTATAATTTGTGGAGGGGAAGGGAAAAAACAAACTGTTTAAATAGGGATACAGGTGGACCTATTGCAACAATGAGATGTGCAAAAAATGTCAAATGGGATGGGAAGGGGAAACAAAGGAGGTGGCAACAATGTTTGATAAGAAATGTATTCATTACATTGCCCATGTAATTGCAACTCCTCAAGGTATTTTCACAATAAAAAAGTTTGTTCTTCCAAAAAATGCCTATCTATTAATTTTTTTCAGAATTTTGTTTACATTATATGCTATACTTAACAAAGTAAAAGTATCACTTTTAAAATAGTTTCATATTATAAACCAAAACAATGCACAGCCAGAATAACATGGTTAGGAAAATGAGACTTCAAACAAAAGGGTATGGTTAATTTCCAAATTACTACTCCAAATTGCTACTCCAAATTTGCTACTCCAATTTCCAAATTGCTACTCAGAAAATCATTTTGTCTTTGGAAAATAAGGCATTTAATCCTGTGTCAGGAGTTTATTGAAGGGTATTGAAGACCTCATGATCAGATAAGTGTGATGGACTATTAATGTCTTCTTTCTGTTTTTTGTTTGTGCCAGTACTGGGAGTCAACTCAGTGTCTCACATTCTCACTTGGCTTTTTAGGCACAAGGCTGGTGCTCCATCACTTGAGCCATACTCTTATTTTGAGCTTTTGTTTAACTGGAGATAAGAATCTCAATGATTTGTCTGCTTGGACTCAACTATGATTCTCAGATGTCAGCCTCCTGAGTAGTTAGGATTATAAGCATGAAGCACTGGCACACAGTGACCACCAGCTTTGAACTCAGACACTGGCCGTTTCTGTAGTAACTGAGTGTGCCACTTGATGTACTTTTCTTGGAAAAGTCATATGGACTCAGAGTCTGATTTTATTGTATTAATAGTCATACGAAGGCCCATTACAGTACAGTTAGGTAACAAGATTTTTAGTAAATAAAAGATCTAATGGAAGAAAATTCTAATTTTATTATATAAATTACTTAATATTTAGTACCAATTTTTAGCTTTACAATCCTGTTAAAAATTTGTCTTGAAAATAAATTTTTCTTGAGCAATACTTTTGAAAAAATGTAAATACATGCTTTTTTCTTTTTTTCCAGTCCTGTGGACTGAACTCAGGGCTTGGGCACTGTCCCTGAGCTTCTTTTGCTCATGACTAGCACTCTACCACTTGAGCCTCAGCACCACTTCTGGCTTCTTCTGTGTATGTGGTACTGAAGAACCAAACTCAGGGTTTCAAGCATGCTGGGTAAGCACTCTACCACTAAACCACATTCCCAGCCCCTGTTTTTGTTTCGTGTTGTTGTTGTGTGTGTGTGTGTGTGTGTGTGTGTGTGTGTGTGTGTGTGTATGTGAGTGTGTGTGTGTGTGTGTGAGAGAGAGAGAGAGAGAGAGAGAGTCTGTGTGTGTGTGTTGTGTGTGTGTGTGTGTGTGTGTGTGTGTGTGTGTGTGTGTGTACTAGTCTGGTGCTTGAACCTAGGACCTAGGCACTGATAGCTTCTTTTCTTCAAGGTTAGTGCTCTGCCACTTGAATCACAGCTCCATTTCTGGCTTTTGGTGACAGTTTACCTCATACATTCTTTTTTCCCCAAGCTGTCTTCTACAACTAAGCTGCATTTCCAGCCCAACCTGCTTATTTATATCTTTAACAAGGAGCTATTCTTTTACTACAGAACTAAGAACTTGAGGATTTATTGACTACATAAAAATAGTAGATGTCAACAGATTCTTGCTGCTAGTAATCAACCATGGAAATAGATACAGATATTAAAAAATTATCTAAGCACATGTTCATATTTGATTTTATACGGTGAACTGAATTTAGTGTGTATACATATATATTTTTTTGGGGGGGGGTCCAGTCATGGGACCTGAACTCTGGACCTGGGCGCTGTGCCTCAGCTCTTCAGCTCAAGGCTAGCGCTCTACCACTTGAGCCACAGCACCACTTCCTGCTTTTTTTTCTTTTTCTTATGTGGTGTTGAGGAATGGAACCCAGGGCCTCATGCATACAAGGCAAGCAATCTACCACTGAGCCACCTTCCCAGTCCTAGTGTATATATTTTGAGACATTATATCTTAATTATATGACATTTTCAAGTAGGTACAATGTTTATGTTTTCATTTTTTTTTGAGTCCAGTCATGGGGCCTGAACTCTGGGCCTGGAAGTGTCCCTCAGCTCTTCAGCTCAAGGCTAGTGCTTTACCACTTGAGCCACAGCACCACTTCTGGTTTTTTCCTTTTTGCTTATGTAGTGCTGAGGAATCGAACCTAGGGCCTCAAGCATGGAAGGCAAGCGCTCTACCACTGAGCCACCTTCCCAGCCCCTATGTTTTCATTTTTAAACCCATATTTCTTTTCAACAATCCTAGTTTTGAATCTTCTTTTATCAAAATGCTTGACAATAGCAGTAGTTTATTTTATTCATTTTTATTGTGAAACTATTGTACAGATGGGTTACAATTACATGAGCAAGGTAATGAGTACATTTCTTATCAAGCATTGTTCCTCCTCCTTATCATCCCTTATTATCCCTCATTATCCCTTATCATCCCTTCCCATCCCCCCTCATCCTCCCCTCTCCCCACATCAAAGTTGTAAAGTTCATTTTTCGACATAACATCTGGTACACCTCATTGTTGCAATGGATCCACCTGTATCCCTATTTAAACAATTGGTTTTTTCCCTTCCCCTCCACAAATTATACCAACATCAAATACAGTGAAAACAAGGGTTATACTGCGGGGGAGGGACATACAAAGCAACAAAGAAATCATCTTTTAAATATGTTAGAAACAATAGCAAGAAAGAA